ACACAGTCTATTCCAAAGGTAGCACATTGTTGCTCCAGAAGGGGTGGCAGGGGTGCAGTGAGGTGGGACAAGATGACAGATCCCTCCTCTTCAGCTGCAATGAGCCGGAGAAGGGAAGAGTGTGAGGTGTCACCTTTCTAAGGGAAGTGAAACAGGATTCCAGCTGACAGGGCCAATGTGTATGTTAAAGTAAGCCAACAACTCCCCCCCTCCCCTTTATTTTAATGGAAGGGCAGCTAGCTATATGCATCCTAAACTATGGAATTTTCTCTTTTTCTGCTTGGCTTTCTCTCTAGTGAGAGTGACACAAGTGCTATATCCCAGGATTAACAACAGAGAGCTATAGCTCAGAAAAGTACCTGCTCAAGTGGCAATTTTGCTTTGTAATCAGGAGGAAAACAGACAGTTTTGAATGACAAATACTCACAAGATAGTGTTCTAAAAATATGGTGCTGCCTTACATTACAGTCTGATAGAATTTTTTCAGCAAGTAGATATGTCCTTCTTAGCAAAATAAGAATTTTCCAATTCAGTTTCAAAATTTTTCTGTGAGTTGACCACTTAAAGCTCACAACTTCTGATACAGAAAATCTCTCATTTCTGCAAAGAGAAATGAGGGAGAGAGAAAAGCCCACAGGGCTTCTCTTAGTTGCAAATGTAAAATAAAGTGGCTATCACTGGAAAGAAAAATCAGATAGACCTCTCCATAGATTGGACCTCACCCTACTGATTCTATTAGTATTAGATATATATGATTATCAAAATGTTGTTAGTTTTCTTTACAAAAAGCTAAAAACCAGTTATCAAAGGACCTCTATGAGCTTGTTAGATGTTACTCAAGAGCTTAGTAACATCTTAGTAACACTTAGCTACTAAGTGACTAAGACTTAGCTTAGTCACAGAGATTTATAAGAAATGCCAGCTGTTGGTTAAACTGTAGGTCTATTCATCAACCATCACTGGTTTGTTCTCTTACTGACTGATGGTTTATCAGCCTTGACTCTCAACTAATATGCAGTTACCCCAATAATTGCAGACATTTGGCTTCCTGCAGAGAAGTATAAAAGGCTCTCAAAGAAAGGAAACATGCATATGTTCCTTCCCTATGCAGGAACCCCTGTCCCACGATCCACATCCCAGCTACTGCAACCACTGTATCACTGCATTACTGCATGATGAGGGTGTGGAGGCATTTAAAATTACACCCCTTGATGGGCAAATGTGTTCTGTGAATGTGTTCAAATCCTGTCTTTTAGACCTGAAGAACAGTCCATTCTTTTGTGCACGAGAGGAACATCAAGTTCAGGGCTCATCCTCTGTCAGGCAAGAATTCCACTTACTATATGCACACTACTAGAAGTTTTGGGATTTTTCTCCCCACCTCTCTATGTTTTGTGACTACCACAGCATAGAGCAATCTTTTTAGTCTAATACTTGCTTCTCTAGATTATTTGTAGTGGTTTTTAACCGAATAATTTCTCTTGAAGAGAACCCGAATTTTTCCAAATTCTTACATTTCAGACTGCAGATGAGCATAAGCTTTTGTATACCTGCTTCAAGGTAAGTTTTAACAGAATGCAACTATGAAAATACAAGCCTATAACTCAGAGTAATCTTTAAAAAAATTATCAGTCTTGGTTAGATTTAGGAAGGGATTTTTGTCTCCTCTGATTGTCGTTTTAACATACCTATCTTCTGCATTTTACTTCCATCAATCAAGAACATGCAATGTAATATTTTTGTTTCTTTTTCTGTTTAGACAAGCAATTAACAGTTTACACTTCCTAGTTCTTAAGCAAAAAACTCTAGGTACAGACTCATAATGTAATTGTGGGTGACTGCTGTAGATACAATTGCTACACAACAAACAAAGTGGGACTTCACACTCACAATATGAAATGAGATGTAGCTACAACAACTGGCAGGTGCCAGAGAGGATAGTTGGGAAGATAAGAAAAGCAGTATTCCACTGGTGAGTAGGAAATAACTTCCTGAGTCCTTGTGCAGGCTACAAAGACAGCCTGTGTTACCAGAGGAGAGAGTTTATTAAAACTATAAGCACCAAAAATCAATATGACAAAGTCTCAGACACCTGTGTTTAACGTCACAAAAGTTACTATTTTAACACTGTGGTGCAGCGTCTCCATGAAATTGGTTTTAGTGCATTATTTTATTGTGGTTTCCTGAAATTTCAATAGTATGAAATCTTTACATTTTTAAACATGCAGTTTCTTGTTTCCTGTCTTTCCTTCCTAGAGGGATTTCCAAAAGGGGCGTAGGAAAAAAAGGTATGCAAATTCCATATTGCAGAATAACTTGAACCACATAAATTCAGGTCCTGCTCCTAAACACTCACATCAAGTCTGAGGGACTACAAGCTCAGAAATTTAGGGAAATAAGAAATTAGAAAGAATGTTGACTAAATCAACTTATCCCTTATTCATAAGGACTGTGTTATGACTGCAGTACATTCTTCTACTGCCTCAATTTGCCTAAGATATTCTGTATTAAAATAATCCAGAGTGCTTCAACCAGACTTGAAAGATAAAGATACAAAAGCTCTGAATCAGCTGGAATATCCAGATTTCCATTTCAGTCTCTTTGTTTCCCCCTTCTGCTCCAATCTCCTCTGACAGAAGAAAGCATTTTTCTGGCATTTTTACTTTTTGCCCCACTGTTTCTCTGGCCTCTATGTGTTCTACCCTCTACTTCAAAAAATTCCTTCTGTACTGGTGTTCCATTTCTGTTTGTGCCCTGCTGTGGGGCTGGTGTCCATTTTACTGGCTCGTTTTAGAAGACCATGTTCTGTGTTTCCTTATGAGAAGAAGAGAAGGATTAACTGTGGTTTTGATACAAATCTTTACATCACACTTGGCAGTAAATATACTCCAGGTCACCCAGCAGGTTTGGGTTTGAACTGTAAAATGACCTCTTTTTTTGGCAAAGATAACAGAAATATTTTGCATGATAGAGCTGCTAGTGGTCAATAATGTGTCTTTTGACAAGTCCAAAGGAACTCATGGAAGAGACAATTCCACAGGGGGCTGCACCTACAGTAACTCCCCTGGGGTTATAGGGCCCACAGATGAGCAAAGTTTGATCTGGTCTTCACACATCCCACATTGCTCAGCATTCACTGTAATATTATAAAAATACAAAAGTGTACAGTAAATTCTTTTTTTTTTCTTTATAAGCAAATACTTCTAAAGACATCTGAGAGTCTGTTGTCTATTTGGCAAATATTTCAGTGTTGTAGCCCAGCTTCAATGCCTTCTTTTCTTGAAAATGCAAGTAACCTCTCACAGATTCCTAACCATATTATCCTGCCTTTTCCAGTGTTCACTGGCTTTCCTTGTCTTTAAATTAAGTATTCCATCAGAGAGTATGGTGAGAGGAATCCAGAGTTACTGTTTTCCTTAAAAAGAATAGTTTTTTCTGCAGGAACAGTCAAAGCAGAAGGTGAACAGAAAGCAGGGTTAGTGGCCTGACCCTGAAGAAGGCCATGTTTTCTCAATACAGTATATCTAGAAAAAGGTTTGTAACTGCGGGGAAGAACTCATAATTAAGCAAAAATATATTTTCAATCGCAATTCTGTATTGTCCCCAATAATAGGGAAAAACAGTTCTTTTCAGCATTCAGCACAAGATTGCCCAGTGATAGTATTTTCCAACAAGCAATGTCCCACAGTCTCGTCACATCCAATAAATCAGCTGCTTCCCTGCAGCTGCCCAACTGCTGGATTGCAAATATCGTGATTGTGCATTTTCTGATATTTTATAAGACTCTGCATAGTCATCTCTTCTAACTTTTGTGCTGTGGTTTGACACCAGCAGCTCTGCTTTCTGTAAACACCCTGCAGAGCAAACACAGAAAGCACCTCCATCAGGACTGTTTGCTTTGCCCTGTTTGCTGTTCTGCCGCTCCCAGCTTTGAACAGGGGAGTTCACACTCACCCAGAAGTGGTTTCAGAACAAATCATAAAAATGTGTGCAGCACATAGAAACCAGTGGCCACTGTTCAAGGAAGTTCTGTCCCCTCAGTTACACTTCACCAGAGCTATTAAAAAAAAATTGCTCAACCCACCCTTTTTAATCAGCTGAATTAACAGACTATTGTGGGTTACAGGAGCAGATCCATGTTACATCACTGGAAGAGCCCTACACTGCCCAAAATCAAAAGTTCTGAGATAAGAGTCTTCATCAAGTTATTTTTGTCAAAAAGCAAATAAAGGCATCAAACAAATGTTTCCTCTTTGCAGAGTAGTTCCCGGTTCTTTGTTTTGTAGTGATGTAAGAAATACTACAAATACTTTGTACTTCTTTGCCTAACATTAGAATTATACTGCTCAGCCTACAAAAGTGAAGTTGTCAAGGTCAAGTGCAGATGACAATCTTTCAAAAATTCAGAAATTATTTTCAGGGAAGTGCAGAACTTGTAGTAGATTTATATAATGTAAAATTAATCCATCTTTGAGTCTAGTTTCTCTTTCAAAAGCTCAACTAGAAAATAAATATAATGCATATGAGAACTTTTTAATGATACACTTGATCAAAAGTAGTGAGGTAAACCTGAACCCTTCGCAATGACACTCATCCAGAAAATGGTTTTAGTTTAGAACTGCTGTCATATACCAGGACTCTTCACACCAGTATTCTACTGCAAAAGTATTTCAACATTCATCTCTGCATTAAAAATCAAGCTGTGTATTTTTTTGGTATTTATTTTAGAATTATATGAACTTAAAAATACATGCTTTTGAATGCACAGGCAGATATATAGTCACCAAAGGAGAAAAAGAAAAGGTCACTTTGTCAGAACATTTTAAGTGTCTTGAGAAAGAATATGAAACAATATACCTTAAAGGCATCTCATCCTTTCCATCTATGTGTCATTTAAGAGTAAAACATACTTCTACTGATCCTTATCTACTTCACATTAGTTCTATGAAGTGCCAGCAGGAAAACAAAAATAAAGTTTATTTTTGAAGGATTTCACTTACCCAATTCTTTAGAAACTGGAGAACCAGCTGATATATCCCCAATCTTTGCAAGGCTGTCATAATATGCTCTTCCAGCCACTATCATAACTGGGGGTGAGGGAAAAGAAAATGTTAAAAAAAAAAAATCAAAATATCTTCCATTTTTTATTAATCTGTGATCCTCTGAAGTCTTGTAATCCAGGGCACAGAGAGTACGAGAGGAGTATATGGCAACAAGGAAATGTATCATAGAGAGTTACACAAGCCCCTGTGCTCCTGCTAATTTGTGAAACCAGGAGACAAAGACAGGACACCAGAAGACATTAATGAAGTTTCAGCCTCTTATTTAGTTCCAACTTTCATGTAGACCCAGGGGCAATCAGCATCCAGTGGGGAGGTTTAGCCATAAGCCATTGGTCAGGACATAATGAAATTCCTTGGTACCAATAAAACTGGACGAAAAAAACCAAAATGCAGTCCTAAATTTACCAGAAATGTCAAGATCTCTTGTATTGACCAGGCAGAGCAGGGATGTGAGAAATGGCAACTGGCCACGAGACAAGAGACCTGTCGTTGCCACAAGGAAACCTGGAGCCCTTCAAAAACAAATGACCATTTCCTGCTTAAGTTGGCTGTTACAGGAACCAATAAGTTCTTAATATATATCATGAAGGTTCCAGTTATTCCCAGTTAATCATTTCCTGGTTATGGCTGATTTAAACAGCAAAGCCAGTTTTGCCAGAACGAACACGGAAACGTCAGGACTCAAACTGCAGGGAGGGCAGTGGGGAAAAGCACTTTACTCAGGGAGTAGATCTGCAATGGCTGCCTTGCATCTTCACAGTGTCTAGAACTGATCTGCACCCACGAAGAAAAGAAATAACAAGGACAAACTGGCAAGATTTTAATGTAGAACGGCGGTGAAAAATACTTACTGAAGTTAGTCTTCATAATTTTTTGTAGTAAAACATTCTTCACCAAAAGTTAAAGCCAAGCAGACTCGCTGTTGACTTTAGAATTTATTTTTTTTTTTTTCTGAGAGGAATATAATTGCCAATTATAGGTCTGTATTTTATGGCTTTTACTAGTAAAGTGACATCTTTGATTACATAACAGTATATTCACTGAGAAGTCTGAGAATTTTCCAAATGAAACAAAATTCTTTTTGAGGCTCTGTTGCACTAGAAAAGGGTAATTTCTGCCTCAGCTCCATCTCATAGGTGCTCTGTGTTCAGTCTTTCTGAGCTGAAGAATTATGGTGGTGCTGTGGTAGAGCACAGTGTGCCACCTGCACGAGGAGATTTGATGCCAGTCCAACTCCTCCTGTCTGTGTTTCCTCAAGACAGCCCCAACTCACTCTTTTCTCCTAATGCAGGTACTAAAAAGATGAAAAAAATGTGTGATTTCCCCTGTGCTAACCAAACTAAAATCAAGAACTCCACTTTTTACAGTCCCTTCACCAGTACTATGGCTTTTAATCTACTGCAGAAAAGGAGCTTTGACCTTTTGTCCCTAAAATATTTAAAAATACATTATAAACCTATCGGGAGTTCTCCCAAGTTTTATGTTCACTGTCGGCCTACTCTGGCTTTTTTTTTTTTTTTTTGGAAAGCTACAAAGTGTTTGTTTAGCAACAGAGTATTTACTCCGTGCTCCAGATCTATTTACGCCGCTCAGGACTGATGGTGGAAAGATTAACAATTTATGAGAGTCCAAAGAGGACTTTGCAACAGTTGTTGCAACACTGTACACGTCCCTTGGAAATGAAGCACTCGTGGCAGCTCTGCTTTGTCAGCCAGTCCTAAAGGCAAAGGTGCCAGAACACAACAACCCCCCCGGCCTCTCCTCTGTGCTCTGCACAGTTATATTGTGAACTCCTGGTGACAAACTGAATCAAAAGAGGCACAGTGGAACATCTCAACAGCAAAGTGTGTGAGAAGCAGAACCCTCAGAAACTGGTGTAGAAATATTTCAAGTGAATATGAAAACACTTGTTGCTACTTCTGGCACTACCTGTAATTCCTAAGGTCAGGTATTAGGTAACCACGTGTTCATCCACCAAGTTAGGCACCACTACAGACAAATCAACATTTCCTTATTTTCATCTCCAGCAGGCTCTGGTTTTATCTTTTTCTCAAGCCTGGCCTAAAATTTGCATGAAGAGAGATTTTAATGTCTGTTTGGCTATGCACTACTTCTGCAGGATCACATTTCTCAGAGTACTAGATTACATGTAGGGCAAAGACACGCCATGGGCTTGAGCAAGGCAAAATTAGAGACATTTTACTTTGCTTTAATATGATATCAAGCAGTTCAACAGGTCTGCATGGGTGAAATGGAGCAAGCTCTAACAGGTCCTACACTGTATAGGCTTTGGGAAACAAGAGCCCAGTCCTGGAAGCCCCTTCCTAGATAGTTTCTGTGAAGTCAGTGATGGAAGTAAACAACTGGATTCTAAAATGTCCTTAAATTCAAATATATTCATTCTGATTTTGAATCCATTAAAAAAATACCATCAGGATTAGCATGGGCAACAACAACAAAAGCAATCCACTACTGCAACTCATATTCATTCACATTGTTCTGTTCTCAGGGTTCCTCAGGCAGTGACGTGTGTAGGTGAGCAGGAACAGATCTAAGGATGTGAAACATCTTTGCAAGATATTTTCAGAGAAAAACCAAGAATATCAAATTTACATCACTTTGGTGTGGGTTTTTTTTCCATTTATGTTATTATTCTAATATGGGTTATTTAAACCTACTATCAGTTTATTTTGCAGTAGCTCTGTGCCTAAGTGTTTGTGAGGCAACTTCCTCAGGACAGTGGAAAAAAACCCAAAAGGTTGGGGAGAAGGTACATAAGTTTGTGTGTTTGTGGTTGTTAGTTGTTTTTTTTTTCTCTTAATATACACATCCAAAGTTCAACTTGGAAATTGAACTTGTACACAACCCTCATGTCCAATGTGTATATTTAAATGAAAATTAAACAATCTTTCTAAAGTTAGCACTTAGAAAACTTACCATTAACAGCTTTTTCATAATTCTTCCCCAGATTTATTAAATTCCTCAGTCCTGGATTGAACTGTTCCATAACATTCTAGTGAAGAGAAAACAAACTTTGTGTTATAACAAAGGCAATTTAACAGTGGATGGAAGTGTTTATCTAAGTGTCACTTAGGTCTAGTTTTCAGTTTCATATGTACAGCATCCATCTGAAAAGTCTGTGGATGGATGAAAATTGGAAGATTTGGGATACAGAGGAAAGCAAAGGATGGAAGGCAAAAAACCTGAGCATTTAAGATCAACAAACAGGAAAAAAAAGTAAACTATTTCACAGGGGTAGAAAGGAATTTGGCTGTTTATAATACAAAAGGATGTCAAGCATGTGATCAAAGTTTGCACAAAACTGTCTTCTATGGTAGGTGATGGTGGAATAAAGATGAGAGAAAAATCTTTATCCATGAAGGTTTTTAGCCATAGTCTTTGCAAAAAGTAGAAAATAAGTTAAGCTACAAAGTATGAATCCAAATTTGTGTTTGCCTAAAGTTGAGGGGTGAAGGAGGGAGAAGAAGCTTTTGCTCACTCCCAAAAGGAAAATCCCCCACAAAGTTTGAGTTGTCCCTACTCAAAAGCTTCAGTTTCTCCTCTTTCTGGTCAAAGACAACAACTCTCCCCTTCCCCCAAATCAATATTGCAAAGTTACTTGCTATGAGCAGTGAAAAAGGAAAAGCAACTGCTATAAATGTAGCAATTATTCACTCCTCAGAATCCTGCTCTTTATGATATCTTGAACACATGTAGCATAAATAGTGGTATTCCAAAAGGAAGATGATGAGGTACCAGAAGACACTATTTTGTTATTCTTACTGTTTTTATGGCAATACTTTTATGACACAACTCACTATTGTTCACACAGCAGAACTTTCAAGTTCAAGGAATTCAAAACAGATGCTTTCTGTTTTCAAGAAGTACAAGACTCAAGATAAGTGAAATAGTATCAAGCTTTTGTCTGTTATACTACTAACAGAATGCAAATATTTATGTTTAGTACATAGATGGACCCAAAAAGAACAGCAATACCATCACATGTGTCTTATTTTCGGGCAGGGTCATGCAGACAGAATTTTATTTAATTTTTCAAAGATAGCACTATACCTAACTCTATTCCATTTAAAAAATGAAGAAAAGAATTAGCTCCAATAACACTTTAATGGTCATATTGAGTTAAAATATAGATTTAAAAACCAAACCAACAAACTATTAGATTCCAATACTAGTGGAGTATAAATCAATAGCAGACACAGAATGACAATACCTGGTCCCTCTGCCTTTGTGTACAAATTAAATGCAACTGGGATTGTTTTCTGGTCTGTCCCATTAAACTCTCACCCACCAAAATGCAATCACTGCAAACAAACCAGCTATTGTCCCCAGGCCCTTGATTTGTGTTAACTCACAAACCACATCCAGAAATCATTTGGGAAAGTGTGTTTCAGGTTGGGCCAACAATGCCAAGGGCTATTTTAACAACTTAACAGCATGGATATTCAAGCTCTGGTGTCTGGGAACATCCCTCCTCCTGCCCCAGCTCTGTAATTTGCTCCTGTCAGTGTTGCTGCTGTGCCTGTTGCCCTTCTCGTTGCTGAGGCAGTGGGACTGGGACACACTTGTTCCAAGGAGCAAGTTGTTTCTTCCTATTCCAGCTTTTTCCTATTTCTTCCCAGCTGTGTACCAAAGATGTCTGTTGCCATACATGGAGTCAGTGAATCACAAGGAAAAAAAAAAAAAAGTTGAATTAGGGGATTGTTTTAGGATAGAGAGTTCTGTATTTTGAGGATATTGGGAAAGGAAGGTGTACCATGGTGCTGTGTACTTATGGCAGGTAAGAATTTCAATGTCACCTTGAATTACCACTCTGTACTGAAAATAATTTTCCTGAAGGACAGATTCTGCCCCTGTTAACCCTGCTCCTTGAAACAAAAAATTACAGAGTAAACCCCTTTTTGCCACCTACCCAAAAATTCTAATGGTAACTTGATTCTTTGTCTTGAAGTACTGATTTTTTAAATTACTGTCTTAAACATTCAGAGATTAATATTCCAGTTTTCTTGACGTCTTCTAATTCAGATTTCAAACAAAAACAGTGATTGCACCTGTGTCATTAGTTTTCATTTGGGAGGAAGTGAACAAAACCCAATAAAATTACCCTCAACCGCTCCCCTCTCTGAAGCCAGGCCCCACAGCTCTTGATTTTCACTAGTCCCACTTGATCCATAGCAGTTTTTCAAGTACAGCAGACACAGACTACCCTGTGGGAACACAACAGCTCCACTGAAACTCAAGGGACTCAGAGGAAGAGCTCCAGTACATCACCTCTGCTCACTTTGCACATAAAACTGCTGGGACAGACGAAGAAACAATTTACAGCTCAGTGCCTGCAGTGGCTGGAAGGAGTACAACTAATGGATCTTTTCTCCATCAGACCAAGCAGTGTCTGGAAGTGTTTCAGGCTTTGCTCTGCCACAGTGGTTGATTGTTAGCAGAACCAGTCTCCAGACGTGAACGCCCGAGAAACGGCAAAAACCTTTGCAGTGGAAATTCCCCTTTGGAATCTGCTTGGTTTAACACAGGGTATGGTTTGCTGATCCTCACAGCACTGGGCAGGGCTCGTCTACTTTCCTGCTAAGGGTTGGTGTTTGATAGTCTTAGCTCTGTTTGATAGACTGAGCTCTCCCTGACCCCCCGCCAGGTCTCCAAGGTGACCCAGTGGAATAATTCTGAGATTATTTCCCTTTCATACGTTAGAAAGAAGCATAATATGTGGGGTTTTTTTAATTTCTACTGAAGACTAGATTCTCAAAGCAAACAAAAAACCTGGCCATGCTTCTAGTGGTCTTTTCATACAGTTAACCACACTTAACCACTGGCTGTCTTTGAAGTACTCCCCAGGGAGGAGTATCTAGAGCACTTTTTCAAAAAGGGGAACTGTCACAGGCAACTCCTTCTTCAGGATCAGGTATGAATTTGATATGGCCAAGACATTTCAGATCAATTCAAATTATTGTAATATTTTATTCGTCTTCAGAACTTACAGGGGACAAGAGCAACTCAAATCAATTTGTACAGTTGCTTTTTCTTACAGTTTTAAAGCTTCTCTTACAAAAGGTCATGAAAATGAGTGGGACTGAACATCAGTGCAAAATTTCAAGTCATACATTAAAGCTAGATCTCAAAACTTCTAAAAAAGCAGGACAGAGGACCAAAGAAGAATTTCTGATCCAGAGAACCACTAATTTAAAGTTGTCAGAAGTCTCTGAAAATAACACAGTCTTGTTATTTGTCATGGTGTACACAGATGTGGAAATGAAACCTCTGCCTTAATCCAAATAAAGATCACAAGGTAAGAAAGAGCCTGGGAGAGACAAAGTGGTTCAGAATACATTGTTTGACTGTGCAGTTGGGACAGACAAAGTGGTTCAGAACACATTGTTTGTACAGTGAGCACAAAAACACGGCCTCCTAATTGTCAATCGTGTGTCCTATATTCCAGTGACACTCTACCTCTCATGGACAGAATAATTAACGAGAAGAGGAGGCACATGATCAGATCCTACAGCTTTCTATTATTTAGGATGAATGGAAATAAAGGGAAACATTTTCAAAACAGGCAACTAGAAACATGTTTTATGCAGAGACCTTTAGAGTTGGCAAAAGTGACCTCCCAAGAAAAAAAGCAGAAGTGAAACCTATTCTGGTCATTTGAGTCATTGAGTCCTCATATAATCTGTTATAAAGTTGCTGTGTGCCTTTCACATCATGAAGCCAATGTGAGTTATTCAGCCTGGTAGCACAGAGCTGACTGAGGAGGAAGAAGCCTTGTATTTCCACTTCTTGTGTGTAGGTATTATATCTCCCACAGTTCCTGATAGTCATATAAACAGCACTAATCTTCAAAACAAATGACAGCCATTGTAAAAGTGCCTTCCTGTAAATGCTCAGCATCGCTTTTTACTTAAAGACACACCTCACTGAACAATAGCTCAGCAGGTATGAACACAACTAAACAATGCATAGACTCCCTGTAGATTCAAGTTTACATCCTGCAGGCACTTTGGCAGGAGCGAATAGCAATGTATTTGGGTGGAAATCTGAAATTATAAAACTAGCAAAGTAGATCTTGATGTGCATCATCACTGATATTACCATCACTACAGCTGTTCATAGCTAACCTTTGTATAGCAACTAATGATTTAATTTAAATTGTTATTTCTTAATTTGAAAATGAGAAAATTTTTTTTAAAGTCTTTAGTGTTGCCACACAATGTCTGAGAACCCACTTGAGGAGATTCAAAAGCCATAAAAAAAGTAAATCATACTGTGTTCTACTGTACTTGAAGCATTTTGTACATTACTGCATTTCATCTCCTTTAACTTTTGAAATCCATAATACAGTTTTCAGAAGGGCACAGCTGAGCCCTCAGCACATCTCATGTTAAGCTATCTCAGTTTTAAGTTAGCTTAATATTGTTTTAAAAGAATTTTAACGGATTGGAAAAGAATAAATCAAGGTGCCAGTGTTTATTCAAAAAGACTAATTCTTATGACTAATTACCAGTCATCTTGATGGAACATTTCTTGTTTAAGAGACACATTAATATGTCATCCATCGCTGTGTTTCAAATACAGACTTTTCCAGGTTATGAACACCTGCCCAAGGATAGACTCTAAGTAGGCATAACTGTAAGTAAGGTCAAAAGAGAGAATTTGCACCAAGTTGGAACTGGATTTTAAACACACACACACACACAGACTTTCAAAGGCTCCTCCTCCCACAAGTTAGATTTGTATTTCAGGGATGCAAAACGACAGCCTGACTGCAGAGTGTGCTAGGGCCATAGGTGAATTTTAGTTTTGGTAAATAAGTCTGGTAGTTTATTCTAATTGTCAGTCTTTTTAAAATACGGAAACATGGAATTTGGGACTTAAAACAGAATTTATCAGATCTATTTCCATGATAAAACAATATAGCCTGTAATTGTAATTCTACAATGCCCCTGAGGAGAACACATCACTCCATTGAACAAAGGGGTTTTTTTGGAGGGGCTCTTTTGGTTTGGTTTTTTAGATTATACTTTGGTTGATAATCGAAATTTCTGGGTAAGAGTCACTTGAACACAGAGCGATAGATCTTTAAAACCCAAGGTTAGCAATGCCAGTGAATCACAGCCATCCTGCCGTTCTGAAGAGCTCCGGAAACCTCAAACCACGGGAGCACTCGGTGACCGCCTGCCCAGCCCTCAGCCCACACAGACAGGACAGGTCTGGAACTCAGCACTTTCCTGTTTTGTCCCCTTTCCCCTGCACTCTGTGTATCTCAGCTGGATGCCAAGTAGTTTTCCCCCACATACAGCAGATAAAACAACACTGTGCGGGCTGTGGGGACACACCAAGACATAACAACTTTCCTGGGGTTACAAATCGAGTCTGTGTGCGAGGGGTCACACAATGTCCCCTCACATCACGTCACATCACCTCGGGGAGGGACAAGGGCAGGGCTGTGTCATACCAGGGAACCTCTGAGCAGTTCCTTGGCAAAAGGGAGGCTGTGCCCTCTTTAGTCATCGACTCCCACACCCTTGGGCTTCATTTTGCACGTGCCATTCCTATCATGCGTTAAGGCGATTCTTCAGGTATTACATAAAGTGTAAATGTCAGTGCTGGGGTTTGTGTGTGCACACATATTTGTGAATTATGTTGTTTACTTAGTCAGGGTAGCTGAAAAACATTGAGGTATTCACTTTCTGGTGTTGTTGCCAACAGAAAGGAAGAACAAGATAAAAATAAAAGGGTCACCTGATGAATTCTGTGAGTGTATTTTGAAGCTTTGTATAACACAGGTTACTATGTATTTAATAAATCCAATGGATTAGCACTGTGAGAAGAAAAAAAAAAAAAGCAAACACACAACAAAACCTCCCAAAAATAGCAGACCAGCAAGGTATTAAATTTAATTTTCTATTACTTTTCCAGGTCATCCAAAAGTTGATTCTTTTTGAGAAGTCCAAAGCCTATGTTCAGCCCTGCAGCACAGATGCCATCACAGCATTACATTGAATTGGTTTTCCCAGACCAAGCCTTTGGTAGGAGAGGCACAAACAGAAGGTATGAATTTCATCCATCCCAGCACGGTGTTTCAAGCAGGGCATTGCCAGGATGGCACAGCAAGAGCAGAAGTTCCACGAGCACCACTGCACAGAGCAGAGCAGGCTGAAGCACAGCACAAAGAGGTGTTCATTTGTTTTAGATGGGGGAGCTGTGATTACAGTCACAGCCAGTGCTGAATACACAGGCTACTCCTCTCTGCCCCTAAGAGGTGACAAACTATTTTCAAGATTTCAACTTTGATCTAGAAATAACTGCTTTAAAGTAGACGCTGAATCCATTTTCTGCCTGAAGCAGCCTTTATACCTTATCTGGATAAAGTTTCAATTTTTAATGAGGGCAGGGCAGGAGGGTTTCCAGGCCTGTGAGTTCAAGCTATGTGATACAACATACCAGACCTCTCAAAATACCTACATAGAAGGCATTTCATCACACTGTCAACATTAACTTTGTATTACTGTGGTTTTGCTGGTTGTTTCAATCTTAAGTATTCCTTTGAATTAGTTTAAAACACAAAACAAAAGGGTAAACTTTCCCAGGAAATAAGTACTGAATAGCAGGGAAGGTTTTGCTTATTTAGAGGTCTGTTATTCCTTTAAAGCCTATTTTAAATCATACCCATTAAAACACACAGGATATTTTCTTCCCCCTCCTCTGTAAAACTGTTTTAGCTACATTCTAGAAGTCAATAGACAAGGTAGAACATTCCTTTGTTGGCACAGCCCTGAACAGTCAACTTCCCAGGTTTCTCTTCTGTGAGCCTATATTTACAGGGTGCTCTTCTGAGAGAGGATTTTATGTTTGCTTATGGCCTTGCCACGAACGTAACTGATATCAAAAAGCACCAGACTGTTTAAGATGACCTGCTCTGGTTCAGAGGACAAAATTTATAGCCAGGTAATCTCCTTTTTTTTTTTTTTAAAGTAATTTTGCATGAAACTGATAACTAAATCCAAAGAAAGTAAACAGCAAATACAACATGTCCCCAATTAACTGGTGTAATCGAAGGGGTAAAGTTGACTGAAGTGTGTTGAACAACAACAAAAGTAACAAATATCAAAATTTACTCCCAGTAAATGTTTTCAGAGACCTTTCAGTGATGACAACATCATCTTTAGAAATATGAAAACGGTATTAAACCAGTAAGGTTTAGTAAACAGTAAAATAGAACAACCCCTCAGAAAGCTTTCCTTTGGGCTCAAAGCTGCAAGTGCACTGCAGCTGTAAGTTAAATTTGCAAATGCATTCACTCATGCAAATTTGAGTGCTTTCTCTAGTTCAACACACTGTACAGAAGGAGGATTACGGATCCAATGCTGCCCAGCCAAAAGTATGATTCTAAAGGGAATTTTGCCCAGTTAAAATTGATGTGTTTTGGAAGGACTGCGTTTATAGGGAAAAGAAGTTCAAAACAAGCATCTGGTGGCCACAAGCAAAATATTTTAAATTCTACAAATAACGAGGCATTTTGGAAAGTTCCAAAGCTACCGACACGAATAGGGCTGCCCGCAGCAGCCGGTGCTTTGAGGCAGTGCTTGGGTGCACCACCATAAATCTGATTATCAGCTCGGGACGCCGGCAAGCAACTTAACTCAGCGTTAAGCCATTTTTAGGCTGTGGCCCCTGTGAAGAAACGGTTCAAGCAGAGGGACCACAACCACCAAACCGCCTTATCAGCCAAACACACCGAGGGAACTCGGGAGAACCGAGGAACCGGTCTGAACGCCCGCCTTGTCCCGGGGCTGTCGCGGCCGTGCCCGCCCTGGCTGGGGAAGGCGAGCGGCCCGACACAGCGGGGCGGGCCGGATCACTCACGGGGAGGGAAACAGGGAGAGGGGGAGAAACAAGGAAAAGAGAAGGTCGCTGCGTTTCCGCGCGAGGAGCCGCGGCCGCCCCGAGCCCGGCGCGGACCCCGGGGCAAAGGTGGGCGCGGGAGCCCCTCCCCGGCCCGCACTCACTTTGTACGTGTTCTCCGTCAGCTTGTTCACCTCCTCGGGGTCCCGGGACATGGTGCCGGCGGGCAGAGCTCGGTCCTGCGGAGCGCCCCGGCCCCAGCTCAGCGCCGCGGCAGCCTCGGCTCCCCCTCGGCCGCGAACAAACTGTCAAAAACTTGCGGAACCAGCCGGGGCAGCGCCGCCGGGGCGGGACCTGCGGGGCCGCGGCTCCCGACGCGGCAGGACTGGCTGGGCTGGGCGGGGAGTGACGGGATCGCATCACCGCACCGCGCCTCGCCGGGCACGGCAGGGCAGGGCAGGGCAGGGCTGGGCGGATCGCCCGGACGGCCCGCCCGCCGCTACCTGAGCTGCCACTCCTCCATCCTCCTGCTCTTCCTCCTCCTCCTCCCAGCTTCCCTCTCCGGGAGCCCCTGCCCCGCTGCCAAAGCCCAGCCTGGGCCGTGTGGAGGTCATTTCAGCTCTGCTGGTGCCCCATGGAAGTCGGAGGTAAACTTTTTCTCCCAGCAATTAAGTGAGGGTTCTGTAGGAATTAATTAGTTAGTCTTGTCAGAATTAATTAGTGTAGCCTTAGCGATGCTGGTGAGGCGAGGGATGATCCCCTTGCTCTCTTCCACAGCAGCTTCCCATGAGGGGGGTTTCTCAGAGCCCCTCAGGCACGGGCAACAATGTCTTTCTCCCGGATCCTGGCCCAGTGCACTGCCCGAGCTTCATGTTACAGTTTTCTGTTTCTTTCAAATACACACCCATAAAACAGTGCCCCAGTCATCTTTCCTCTGTGAACTGACTCACGAAGCCTTCATGAAGCAGGGCTGGTGAGGAAGGCTTTGGGAAGTTGTAAATTTTTGTGGACCATAAATTGGCCAAAGTATGCTAGTTGGGATATCTTTCTGATAAAGTAATACTAACACTACCTTGAAGGACCCTGTGGGAATTTCATAACCTTAGGTACTGAAAACTAGATTTGGTGCTGGGTGTTGAGTGTGTGAGATGCAATCACTGTACTGATACAATGGCCATCCCTCTCTTGGTTTCTGTCTCTCCCTCTGATTCCCTCACTTTATTGCAGCAATAAAATCATGGCAGGCAGAGAAAACTGTACTTGGAACAGAACCCTAGATGTTGGACTCTGGTGTGGGAGGAGGTTGTTACGAGGTTTCAAGAGCTGTAAAAGTGTTTTCATTTGAGTATTGGAGGTGCCTTTAGAATTACAATTACAATTTACCATCTGGAAAAAAAGTGGGCACTTAGAGTGTTATCTTGAATGCAGCTAAATCTCAGGGCAGAGAGGGGGTTTTATGGCACTTCATACCCCCAGGTAAGGTCTTTGCAAACTTCTGGTAGGTATGGTATTAATTGCCTTTCAATTCAATTTATAATGTTATCCTATAGGCATAATGAATTATTTTGGGCCCAAGTCTACAATTTATGTTCCCATTAAGCAGTGTTTAGTCATACAATCAGTTGTCTAGAATGTGATGTGGCTGTTTGCCTGAGCATGAGGAGAAGAGTCACAAGTCTTTTGTCTGGAGAGTGTTTTACAACTTTGGAAACAGATCATGCCTGGGCACTACTGCTTTTGTGTTACCATATACCAATGCTTGGAAAGGATCTCCCTCTCTAACAGGCTGGCATTCAAATTTGAAGGAGCAAGTACCCAAAGGAAGATGTAGAATAGGTTTTCCTTTCCTGATTCTTGCTAAAGGAGCCGGGAATGTGCTGTATAGCAGACAGTGTTATTCCTGTTAGGGACAAAGCATTTCTCTTTCCTCTGAACACTATGGAGCTCTGGCAGCTCACCTGGCATTCAGGGTGTTTGTTTCCAGTTGGCACACTAGGTTCAGTCATAGTAAATAACAATGTAAGTGTTAATGAAATATGCATATCAGAAAGAAGCTATGTGGACAGGCAAGTCTAGCTCTTTCAGTATCCAAACCATTGCTATAAATCATAAATTTTGAAATTCACTAGAAAACAAAAGTCTGCTTGTACTTGTAATACAAACACAAATATTTTGGTCTCTTAATAAGGGATTTTTGATCCTACATTGTGTTAAGATTAGTGGTCTGTTAGATGGAGTCAATCCTGATGTGTGCAAACAACAGGAAGTTAGAATGGTCTGATTACCTCTTTTGATGCTTACTTTTAATACATATAGAGTTTCATTGTCCAGAAAGAGGAAGAAGGAACTATTCTTACTTTGGTGGTGAACCCATGCTGCTGTGTAATTATGTCTGTTCTTTTCACTTTGTCTCAAGCAATAACTGCTTGAGTTCAGGTTAGAGGGAACCTGGCAGGTTAGTAGCTTACCTGGTCCAGTATCCCAGCAGAGTAGGGCTAATTTCAGCAATAGCTTGCTCGAGGCTTTATCCAGGTGAATTTTGAAAATCTTCAGGAAGGAACAGTTGAGGAACAGAATGGAAAGTTCTATTTGAAACAACCTGTAACATGGCAAGTAAAGAAAATCATCTACAGTGTTATAGGAGACAATAATTATTAACATTTCATGTGGGTCTATCCCCTGAGGTAAGTCACCCATCCAGCTGAGCTTCTCTAGCTTAACTAACACCCTCTATGTTGTAACAAGAGCTTTGATATTAGACTGTGACATGTTGCCTATTGAGAAAACAAAACTCCTTCCTCATTACCTGCCCTTCTGCCTCACATTATGCTTTCCTGACGTCAAACTGAAATGTTTGTAGACTTGTAATTATGCATAATTCCAACAGACCCCCTGTTTCAAAGTGATGGTTTGGACTTCAATGTCTCCTGGTCTTACTCTTGCCGTGGTTAAAAGGTGCTCCTGGTCCTTGGCAGGTGGGTATGAACAAGAGCAGCCAGGCACAGGGGCTGGGTTGGGACTGAGGCTGTTGGCACCTGAACTTGGCCTCCTGCTTGTATTGCTGGGCAGTGCCTGCTCTGGGCCCAGATCCAGCAGTTCATTCCACGTTGGCCAAAGGCAGAACCACATAGATTTAGCAAAACTGCTGTCGAGGGAGGGACTCACTCAAAATAAGTCCTTATATATATTCCCTACAGAAGGCCAGCTCTCCCTTGCAGCATTTAAGTTTTAGAACATGAGTAGCAGCAGTAAAAATTTCCCCATGTCTTGTCAGCCTTATAGAACCGAGACTGTAGTGAGAAAACTGTATTGTTGATATAGCTTTTGAAAATGTATGTACTCAGAAATATTCCTTTGAGTATTTCTTTAAAAGCAGTAATGATTTGGTGTGTGATTGTTTTCTGTATGTGTCCTGTTTGCATGCCAGTGACATATTCGAACCTTCTTTGGAAAGGTTTAAGCATGCTGGAAAGGCCCATTAATGTCAGCTCATCGTTAGATCTTTAACATGTGTTTTGAGTAGCTTAATATGACTGTAACTAATTACATAAATTGTGGCTAAGCAGTGATCACATATGCATGATACAGCCAGCTGTGGCCTATGTCGTTCCCTGTGGTCATTAGCAGATGTTTAACTTGATTAAGGAAAAAAAAAGTGTACACGGTGTGTTATTGAGTGATGTCAAACAACAGAGTCAGAACAAAGTTTTCTGAGGAGGAAATGAAAGTGACTCTACCAGCTTGCTTTGCTGATTGATATTTTTGTCCTCAGTTGATACTTATAAGGAATTATTCAAGTATTTTAATCCCCTTCAAACTGACAATACAAATGCACGCTAAAACTCACACAAAGTGTCATTTGATAGAATTATATAAAACTTCTGAAAGTTTACTGACCCTTTTGATCTGAGTCAGCTCTGGATCATTTAAAGGATTTACACCATTTTTTAATTGATGCAAGCAAGCACAAAATCATTTTGTTCCCTGCTGTTCATTGTCCTGAGCTGGTTTCAAAGCAAATGAGCTGTCACTCAGACTTACAGGTCAGTAAGATACTGCAATCTCTGGTCAAGGAAGACACTTAATCAAATGCCCAATTTAAATGTGTAATTAATTCACTGTATTTTTGAGGGTTGAATTAAAGAAGTGCAAGATGCTTTTGATTAACTCCTCTTTCTCCAGACTAAAAATTGGATGATGGTTTTATCATGGAGATGAGTGCTTTGGATGCCTGTGTTTTGCATCTCAATTGCCTCATGTTGCAAATTATTTTGGCAGATTTATGAGATTAATTATATAATCGATTTCATAATTGTGGTTTGTTTTTTTGAGGCTCAAAAAGAATGTGTGTATGGAAGGATGTGTTTTTTAAAAGGTCTTTTTTGAGATTGCCTAGAATATAGACAAAATTTCACATTCGAGGGAACCTAATAAGCAGTACTGCTAGCTGTGCTAATAGTTTTCTGCTGTTAATTGAAATATTTAATTCAAAACTCTTATACCCACACATTTTGTGACTGCTCATTTCTTGCTGAAAGTAGTGATGCTTTAATTCTCGTGCTGTGCCCACTAGATGGCAAGCGAGCTATGCACGGAGGAGAAGAAACACATCATCTGTATGCACAAGGCTTTCTCGAAGTGCTTTATAATGTAACAAGATAGATATTAGTGGTAAGCAAATGAAACAGCATTTATATTGCTCAGACACAGCCTTAGAATTTTTTCTCAAGAGTGTAAGTGCTGTTAGTATGTTCATATTATTGAAACCTAAATATACCTTGGGATCTGTAACTTTATTTTGGAAGTCAGCCCTAGCAGCAAGCCAACATCCTGGTGAAACTCCTGTTATAAACTTCTAATCCATTTAGGTTCCAGGGTTTTATGACTCATGCTGAAAACACAGTATTTTAAATACCTGCGTGTTTGTTATTCTCCCTTTTGTAATTTGTCAGCTGGGGATTAACTGAGAACAGGTGTGCACTGCTCCAAATGGATAAACTGGTTTTGCCTGGGGCTGAGTGTGGTGTGTGCAGCTAAACATAGATCTGCACATTGCTGGTCTTAGTAATGTCAATAGAGTGGGTATTAGAACCAGAGGAGGAATTACCAGGTTTGTTATGGGGTAGAACACAAAGACCTCAAGTGGAATGTGATGCTGTTGCTGGGCTGGGAACTCAACATGCACCAGGTGTAAAGCAACACTCCTGTGAGTATTTTCAGAGAACTCAAATGTAAATTTTGGTGCTGTATTTTTACCTCTTCCTTTTCCCAGCTAGGAAAAGATAGACCAAGTAGATAATACTG